TTATAATATTGTGGTCTCCAATTTTAAAAATACGTACCTAGATGTTGTACATATACATATTTATAGTACAGTAGAACTTCGATTATCCGAATTCAAAATTGATAGTTGATTTCTTTTTATTTTCGATAAATTATTGATACAATAGTATAAAATGATAGGTCGAGGTTTAATTTGCTCCTTATGTATGCATTCATCGCCGATTATTTATATTTTATTTTAGCTATTAAAATTTTATCAATAATTTTTACCAACTTTTTATATTACGTCTGAATGTGGCTAATTCAACTTGAATTTAATATATTTTTATCCTGATTAACTTTTAGTTTCGAGCCTACTTGCATACATTTCCTGCGGCATAATTTCCAGAAAAATTGAAAGTTTATTGATGGTCGATAATAAAATGTTAAACTAAAATTAAAATAAAATGGTTAGTTTATTATATTCTTCATAATGAACGAAGATTATTATAAATATATCCATTTGAGTCCCAGTTGTTGAGATCAAGGGGTCCCTCTGGGCCGTAACACTATCGAGAGAGATGAATACGGGGTCGGATCGAATGCCTTTACAATTTTTAATATTTTTTCGTTAAATTTCCGTTGAGTTTGTACGTTTCTGCTTCCTTTCCTCTCCCGTTGAATCTTCCTTTTAATTAGTGAACCTTTCATCTAATTTAAACATAACGAAAATAATTTTTATTATTAATTATATATAAGTGGAAATACCTATTTTCAGTCGCGACAAAATTATAAGACAAATAATGCCTTTTATTATTAAATTATAGCAAATGTCCCCAATTTTATTTCTTAATCATCTTTTTATTCAACTAATTTTTGTTTAACCGTTCTTCTTAGATACTTCCACTTTTCTAACAGACATATTTTTCATTATTCAACATTAAAACTGCTTTCTTCTAAAGTCTGGTTTCTAAAAGTACACTTGTGTTTATATATCAGCATTTATCAATCAGAATCTTCAGCGCTACGGTAAAATATCTAGCTAATCCAAAGCTGTATTGTCATCAATTATATTTCAATAATTTCGACAACCCTTAATGAAATTTACAATTTGTGGTTGTTTACATATTATTTTTTGTATTCTTATATTTTAATGGAAACGAATGTATATCAAGACATTTTTCTTTTGTCAGTTATTGTACACTAAGTCGATCATTAATCATTAATATTGTTTAAATTATCAGAAATTTACAAACAGGCAGATTTGCTATAAATGCTTTATGTAACGCAATATATTTACATGCACCTCTTAAATTAGCGTTCGCATAAAATTATAATAAAATCTGATCAACATTGATGTGACTTTGTATTACCACACTAAGCAGAATATTGGCAGCAGAATTTTCTTCATGCACTGAAACACCTTTATTCACTAATGCCTTTAGACAATCGAAATCATCATGTTGTGCTGAAAATGATATTCTTGTTAATAAATACATATAATTAAATATCGAAAGATTTTTATAATTTTAACTAAAAACTGAAGAGATACCTGCATATCAAATACCTAATTGAAGAGAACTGTCCATAGCACCAGGCAAACTTGGCACTTGCCCCAACTCGCGCTTTTGCCACAGGTCTTGCACATATTGTTAGATATTTTTAGTGCTAGGTACATATATGTATTTTTGTAAGGGCACAGCTTACTCAGGGCTCCGTAATCTCTAGGGACGGCTCTGCGTTCGAATTCCACACCAACGAAAGATGTGCGAAGATCAATATACATATATACGTATTTATCTCAACCGTAGCATGCATTGTGATTCTCTTCACCATAACTATGCTTCACTTCTTGTATCCCTTGTGTTTATAGTCTATTGTATATTACTTCACTGGAAACAGAAAGTATATGATTAAGTAAATCTTATTTTTAAATAAGTTTAAACCAAAAATAATTTATGAAAAAATTATCAAAACTATGTGTACCGTACATGCTGTTTACAGAATATCGAATTTATTTACGAAAATTGAACCGTTATACAAAATCAGCCTTTATACATATACATATATACATAGGCTACCTGATTATTTAAATATATTTTTCCAAAACATCTATAGAACAAAAGTATGGTTTTAAATGTTTTCAGTTTATAAATAATATCAACAAATTTCATTATATCAACATAATGTCTTATAATAAGATTTATGGAATAAATATCTTGTTTTAATATGGAAAATGTAATTCTATTATTTGTTGGTGTGAAAATATTAAGAAAATCGTAAACAATTACGACGTCGTAAAGTGAAACATTTTAGTATTCACTTATTGTTGGTCCACTTTATCCGATTTATGCTGTGTTTAGATATCTTTTGATCAGAAAAGCATTATCAGTTGATTCGTACTGTTTCTACAACAAAATTTTTAAATACAACAATAATTTTATTGCTATTAGCAATCAATAATAAAACGTTTAGAATGTTATCCTCAGGAGGTTCGTATTATTCAGATTGATACGGTTATGACTCGGCATCAGAGATAACATTGTAGTGTAGAGATGTACCTGCATATGTATATTTATTTGTTAAATAAATCTAATTTTATTTATTATTAACATTATAATAACAGTAGCATTACCAATCAACTAAGGATAACAACAAAGTATAAGTTACTGCTAAAAATTTCATAGAAATCGAGTTCGATAAGTATGATAGATTTTAAATAAATAAGTAAATACAAATAAATCAAACTTAAAATATCGCGAACTATTGTTCGCAAACAAAATGTAAGCACTGTAAAGTTTATAAATTCATTAGTAACACTTTAAAAAATTCATTAAATTCATCAAAAATGAGGACACAACTTTTCGACAATTTTATTAATTTTCTTTTTCAATTTTCAATTCAGATTGTAGAGCATAAAATAGCATAAAACTTTGTATTTAACCATTTTTTCATATCTTACACTATTTTAGAAATATTGACGATAATAAAGAAATTCGTAATATTTTTGGGTTGTTTTTACCCCAAGGACTTTTTTGTAGGATATCTTGAAAATTGTTTTATTTTTAGAATGACTTGGACTACATTTCTACAAAGTTACAGATTTTTTTATATTTTCGAGTTGCCGATGTGCCTTGTGAGTTAATTCGAAATTAATTGTTACTTCGAATTTCTCTCAAAGTTCGAAGCTACAATGTGACGTCACCGGTGTTCCGATAACGTGACGTCATGTTTAATATGCAGTGATCTGTTGCTTGCATATGTTGTGATGAAAAAAAAGAAAATGTCATCATTTAACATGATTTCTTTTCTTTGTATTTGAAAATGTAGCACATCTTATACACATCAACTTACTTTCATTAACTGTATACATATTTATATATGAAACTTATTATTAAATTTATAAAATTACATCTATTTTGATTAATTTTATAGAAAAGAGACAACATTAAATGAAATCCACAGATCATATTCAGCTTCTCCAACAATGACACTATTAAAAAAGATACATATTCTTCTCTCTCACAAGACAGAATTAATAAACTTAGTTCAGAACTAGTTTTGCAGCATGAAGAGAATGAACTACTGAGGAAAATAAAAAGAATCTACGGAAAGATACTACATTAA